TATATATATATAAATATAGGTATAATGCAATTTTTACAGACCATTGTAATCAAACTGGATAAATTACGAAGAAAATAGATAAACCAGATCAGAACTTTTTATCCCTAGATATTTTTTTTTCTTTTTATAGTTTTAATTGGAAAAAAAAAAAGAAACCACTATGAAAATTATAATGAAACAATAAAAATGTATTCTACCTGACTGCATTGAATAACTTTTTTTTTTCATGGATCTTTACACCACTATATTAAATAATTTCATTAAAAATAAACAAATTTACCAGTTAATATTTGCTTTGAAGATCCAGCAACAGTCACTAAATACTGAAGTAAATGTCGAAAGTTAGAAGTTTTGCCACTGCCACTTCTTCCCTGTAATATAACTGATTGGTCTTTGCGAGTCCGTAACATATTAGTTAATGCATTTTGAGCTACAGCATAGATGTGTGGAGGCATTTCTTCATCTCGACAGCTTTTAAAATACTTCATTACCTGAAAAAAATTATAAGTTATCGGATGTCAAGGAATCTTCTGAATGCATCAAGTAGTATAAATTATAAAATTATATAAACTTGCCAATCATAGAACGTTTTAAAAGGAAGAAAAAAAGTTGTTGAGTTTAAAAATAAGTCATCCAATAACACCTTACTTAAATTAATTGTATTCACTTAGTTAAAACACAGACTGGTGATTACTTCTGATCTTTGATTTACAGGAAGTAAAAATAACTTCTGCTACATAAGTAATTAGATTTACCTTACATTTTTATTTTAATGGTGTTGCACTTAAGTTATTAATGTATTTTTAAAAAAGAAATAACTTTTAACATTTTTCATATTATATCTACACCTATTTTTTAATATTATTCCTTTTTGTTTACTTATTGTTCAGGTGCATATACATTGCTCTTCATTATTTTATTTAAATTACATTTTAGATCACTAAATGTCAAATAACAACACCAATATTGTTTTGCTTTGAAAAATGAAAAAGTTTGTTTCTAACACAAATCAGGGTAAGAAATTGTGACTGTAACTTAGACTGATTATGAACTTTAAAGCATTTTACAAATCAGAAGAATACAAACAGTCTTGTTTAATTTTTTATTTATTTAGTTATTTTTTTTGTTATTAAACCATTTCTGTTGAGTAATCATTTTTGCCAATAGAGCTATTAAAGAACAAAAATAAAACTTTTGAAAACAGGATGTAAACAATTGAATACTATATAAATAATTCATTTTAGAGTAAACAGAGTATCATTTTCAGGCTTCTAAATTATTTAACATTCTTCATGACAATAAATTATAACATATACAGAATAAAAATTAATTGATCAAGAAATGGAGTTCTATTATATTAGGTAATTAATAAGATAAAAGGTAAATATTGGTTTAAATGTAAAAAAATGTATCATATGATCAAGAAAAAAAGTGGTAATAAAGTTTATTTTTGATACACAATAAGTTATTTTTAACAAAAAATTTGAAATAAAAAATTGATTATATTAAAGCTTGTGCAGAGCGATGCAGACTGTTAACGCAAAGAAAAGTATTTTAATTAAAAAGTATTAAAAAGAAAAGTATTTCAATCTTATATTAATTTTGTGTCTAACTTATTATTTTTTAATGTACCACTCTTAGTAAAGTACCACTTGTACCACTCGTTGTTCAGAAACATGGGACTCAGTGCTTTTACATATTTATCAAAAAGAAAAAAATGCTGATAATTTAAAGGAAATAAAACCGAATGTGAACACTCGCAGAATAATTTTATAAAATAAAACTGGAAGTTAAATTTAAGAAATTTTCCAATGCAATCAGTAATAATTTGTCACAATTTTCAAAGTTGTAATAAATCTGAGTTAATTTTTTGTAAGGTAGAAGCGCACTATCTGCGGTAAGCTGACTTTTCAAGTGCAGCCTGTGGGTGCTTCTGAACACAATGGAAAAAAAAATTTTAAATAAAAAAAAATCAAAAATTTTGGATTGCACATTTGAGTTATTAACACGCCAAATTTGTACAAATTCCATTGTAAGTTGATGTTGCTCTTCAATGACTTTTTTCAAGGTGTTATTACTTGAGAATTTCACATAATTTATTTAAAAAAAAAAAAATAAATAAATAAATAATATTTTTAATATTATATTATGATACACTAATTTCTAATTTGATTGATCACTTTTTGGCTCGCTTTATTTTTGCCGATTTTATCATAAATCCAAACATCTTTCAATAATTTTTTTCGTTCAGTTATAAATACTAATTTCTATGTGTTGTTGCCGCTTCTATTGCCACTTGCATATACCAGCAAGCCTGCCTGGGAAGCTAAGCAAATTTAAGGCAAAGGGTGAGTTTCGTGTTTTTCAGTGGAGCCATCTATGGCCAAGAATACGATTTCTGCCACACACACATGTTACAACCAGTCCATTTTACACGATGGACCCATCCATACATCGTAATTTTAACCTAAACTAGAGAAAGATCAATCTCCAATTCAATACCACCAGAGGTATTGATTTGTTATAATAGTATAGGAACTTGGAGGACTTAAAAATGTGCATGTTAAATCTGTTACAACAACAGATTTAACATGCACCAGTCATCATTTAATACACAAGGTTTCTTCGACCAGCAGGATAAGAGTCCAACGTCCTACCAACCAGTTATTTTTTTCTTCTTTTAACTACAATATTATTACAACATCCAAGTTTCTAATTGTGCATTTCAATGATCACTTTTTGACACAATTTTGTGTTTTTTTCATCGTAAATAGAAAACATGTTTCCACTGTTTTTCTGTGCATTTCGATGTCGTATTTAGAATCCCAATATTTTAATACAGTGCTATTGCAATATGAGAAATTTGTAAAGTGGAGGAAAACGAGACTTTTTAAGCTAATTACTGTTAGTAATTTAGTTTTAAATGATTTAATTGTTTTTGTAGTCAGGGTGATTTTTGTCTTTAGGTAAAAACAAAAAAGGAAACATTTCCTATTTAAAATTCATAAAGGCTCTAATAATTCAAATAGAAATAACATCTGAAATATAATGCCAAGTAGATATTGGATCTTATTTTGTATTATAATGGTTTTGTTTTCCTTTTTGGTTTTTGTATAAACCCCAATAAAAATTCTTTAATTAAAATATTTAATTTTAATTTATATTACTCATTAAAATAAGTATTTATTATTATTTTTTTTTTATACTTTCATTCTGTGAGATTCATAGTTTTCTTCTTCTTTTTGTTAGAATTTATTTTAAATAATCTTTTGTATTACGTTATATGATAAAAATATATATATACAGTGGAGCATCGTTTATACGACGCCAAAGGGACCACCGAAAAACGTCGNGGCATTTTGTAGCGATTCAGAAAACCGGAAAAATCAGTTATCCGGAATCGCGATGGTCCCGATCGTTCCGGATAATCGGTTATCTACTGTACAATGTTATTGCAACACGAGAAATTTGTAAAGTGGAGGAAAACGTGACTTTTTAAGCTAATTACTGTTAGTAATTTAGTTTTACATTTTTTGTAGTTTGGGTGGTTTTTGGTATTTAGGAAAAAACAAAAAGGAAACATTTCCTATTTATAATTCATAAAACCTCTAATAATTCAAATGAAATAACATCTGAAATATAATGCCAAGTAGATATTGAACCTTATTTTGTACTATAATGGTTTTGTTTTCATTTTTGGTTTTTGTATAAACCCCAATAAAAATTCCTTAATTAAAATATTTAATTTGAATTTATATTACTCATTAAAATATGTATTTATTTATTACTTTTTTCATACTTTCATTCTGTGAGATTACAGTTTTTTTCTTCCTCTTTTTGTTAGAATTTATTTTAAAATAATCTTTTGTATAATGTAATATAACAAAAAAAATAAAAATAATATTTCTCCTTTCCCCAATATATACTTTTAACAACAACATTCAGTAAATTATATTTGTCATTCAAACAGGAATAAAAGCATATTTAAAAATACTTATTATATATTAGTTTAATGGTCTTAAGTAAAAAATAAAAATAATTTATTAATTAATAATAAAAAAAACATAAAGATAAGCCTGTATACCAACAATTCAACTAATTTATAATAAAATTAGAAAAAATTTTGTAAACTTCACACACTACTCTATAGATCTATCATTAATAATGTCCTTGATATACATTTATTTTTTAAAAAATAAATATTTAAATGGTAATTAGTAATTAATTCAAGTATTACCATCTCAGAGTATGCTGAAATCGGTTGAATTGGATTTAAAGTGATTAAAATATTTCCTGCAAATGTGTATAAAAGCTGAGAGCAATATCTTTGGCGTAAAGTATGCAAAACACTGGATTCATTCACATGTCGAAGATGTGCAACATTTTCAATAAAGTCAAACTGAGGAGGGTTGGCCTGAAAGGAAAAGTGAAAAATTAATTTTGAATTTTATTAAAAATATAATAATAATAAAAATTGATTAGAAAAATTATTTATTTTAATCAGACGGTTTATTTATCTAACACAAATGCTTGAAAAATAATTTATAGTTGAAAATCTAAAAACATAAAAATGTGCTGGAATGTAACACTACTTTTAGCAGTTTATTAAAATGGGCATTCTCCAGTATAGGGAGAAATTAGAAAATTTTTCTGCTGCATTTTAAATAATTTTAAGAAAAAACTATTGATATAATAATGCAAGACATTTTTTTGAAGTATTACCATCTTCAAATTCATTTAGTAAACATTACAAGACTTATTTTTAAAATGAAGAAAAATTTTAAGAAACAAGCGAGAAATAAATCAATTTTCAGAATATTAAAAAATAATTAGAAAAAATTTATAATTATTTTTATAAAAAAAAAAAAAAAATGCGCATTGGCTGTATTTTTCGCACAAAAAAGTGGCAATTGGATTTGATTAATACTTTATTTTTTAATCGTTATTTGTTTTATTTAGTAGCCTTGTTGCCAATGGTAATCATTAATTTTGTCCTATATCCTCCAGGAGTGCAAAAGATTTAAAGCTGAATTATTTTCAATTGACTAAATATCACAATTTGTGCATTCAGTTCCTAACTGTAACATATGTCTTGAGTATGATTAAATCTGTGTAAGTTAAAAGTTTTATTTCGCCAACTAACTACCAAGCTTTAAATTAAACTTATTCAAGGTTGAATTTAAGAAAATTTAATCACTGATCTTATGAGCCAATAACTAAAAGATTTCACTCATCCATTCCCTTGTTCTAGAACAATTATTAAAAAAAAAAAAAAAAAAACAATTTAGGAATGAAAAGAATAAAAAATTCTTAATTTTTGAAACAAAATAAATAACAGAATACTTAAATCTTTGTAAACAAAATAAAAATTGCACAAGAAGTTTAAAATTAATAAAAAAATTTCCCCTACTATTGTTATTATTATATTATTTATTATATCCATCACTTATGTAGGTAAAATTTATCTCTATTTAATGATCAATCATAAATTATTATTATTTATTAGTTATCTAGAATCTTAAAAATTTATTCAGAATGGGCTAAATGTTACTAAGTTACCATAAATAGATAATTTTATATTATATATCAAAAGTAAAAATTAAAAAAAAGATATAAAAAAAGTTGCACACATGGAAAATTACAGAGAATCAATTCACAACTATGTCAATGTATACTATATATTGATAAAAACACAAACTAAACAAATCAACATACCATCCTAATACACTTAATTGGTAGTGAACGTTTGATAATTCAATCGACCACTGATAATTACTTCATGTTTTTTCAAGTTATAATTCCAGATCACCATTAATTTTAAACCTTGCTCATATTTTGATATAAATCATTTTATTTTGTTTCAATTTACTTAATTTTATTCTTTTTCAGTGTTATTTAAAACCAGGCTGCTAAAAATATCTGGAGATAATACCAATTGAGTAACAAATAAATTCTGAAAATAGACACGACATAAAGGAAATTATTCTAAAAAGCTGATGTGACGGCGGCATATCTAATCTAGTTCAATTTATAACCTGTTCTTTACCGGCGAAATGAGCTCTTCCTCAAGTCTGCACGCTTTAGGAGTCTACGTATCGAAGAGTACTTATACTGTACCGATACGAAAGAACCACCACGTAATCTTGGGCCATTGAAGGCTCATCTCACATTTGAATCATATGATCACGGTCCTGAACGGATTAGTTCCGATATTGTTTTCATTATCTTTGTTTGTCTTACGATTAAAATTAGTTAAAATAATAAAATTTAGAACTGAAAACAAATATGTTTTTCAATTGATATGAGAGAATCTTATACACATGTAATATTTACTTTTTCCACATCTTCTTCATTAACTTCAAGGACATCCTGTGAAAATTCTGTTTTAATGCATAATTTTCCTTCTTGTGGAGAAGTACTTGATTTGACTAGATGAGCAGCAGAGAATCCACCTTTGTGTACAATCCATACAATATTTCGTGACAGCCAAGCCTTTTCAACCTCCATTTCTTCTTCAGATTTAGCCTTTATTTTATTGATATCAATAAAATATAAATTAATGACAATATATTGATTGATTGTGAAAAAGAATTAGAATTGATTGTGAAAAAGAATTAGAATTGATTGCAAGTATATATGATGTTAAATTAAATGAAAAATATTAAAACTCTTACTTACCATTTTAATGTGAAATTTTTTTAAAATTTATAAATCAATTAAAATTAAGCGTGCAAAGGTAGTATATGCATGCTTATATATTTGTCATTTACTGTTAATACTTTCAAAGCAACAAGCAACTGTATTAATAACATTGAAATACATACACAAATGCTAATTTTCAGAACAATAATGTCGGAAAAGTATAAAATAATCTATAAATAGTGTAAGATTATTAAACTTTAAAACAGTTTACGATTGTTTAGCATAATGTATATCTAGCAGCGTCAAAGTTCTGTACTATTTGTTGTGAAAATGCTAAATTAACTTAATGCCTGAGCAAACTGCTTTATTGATAAATGCTTGCTAACAATTAAGAATATTGAAAAACTAAACACTATTTTTATTCTTTTCATACAAGAATATGTAATGCTTCAAAGTTTAAAATTTGCACTTAGATTTAAAGATGAATAATGCTGCCCAATTATCTGAAATAAGAACTTGAAGTAACATTTTTCTGCAATTGCAAAACATGTTATCTTTTTTTTTCATAACTTCCTACAGAAGTAGAAATAATTTCTTCAGAATTAAGGAAATATCAGAAAGACTGTTAACAATTAACCAGCAAATAAATATTTTTTTGTCTGTTACACATAAAAACTGAGTATCACCTAAATTGCAAGCTTAAAAAAAAAAATTATAAAATAAATAATAATTTTAAAAAAAAATTGAATTTTTGTAGTTTTTTAAAGTTTTTGTAAAAGTGAATTCCCTGAGTTGTTCATGTAGTTTGAAGCCAAAATTAATAATTTTAATTAAGATAAATAATTTATACTTCTTACCTAGATATATTTTTATTATTACTTACAAAATATATTTACAAAAATACTAACGCACACTCATTGCTAGTTATTAATGCTTTAAAAGCCTATGTCATTGTTTGCAAGAAAGTAAAGATTTAAGTTATAAGCAAAAATTTATTGGATCTCAAAATAAAAACAGCTTGAAATATTTGGATAATGTATATATATTTATTGAGACTTAAAGTAAGGAGGAAAATGAACTGAACCGTTGTGTTATTTCTTGATTCAAAAGCAAATTATAAACACATATAACCACCATATATGTTTATGAAATTTTTTTTTTCTTTTAATTAAGGAATAAATAACACAGTAATCTAGTTAAATTTTTTCAAAACAATGGCTCAGCAGTCCAGTTCATACAATAAAAATATTCAAATTACAAAACTTTCCTACTAGTAATACATCTAAAATTCTAAAATGGTTAAGCTAGTTTCAAATGCATAATATAACTCAATAAAAACAAGTTTTTGTTAAAAGGGAGGGGAAAACAGATTCTTGTTCACACTAAAAAAAAAATACCTATACTGCTTTAAAAATTTGCAGAACTTTTAAAATATTGGTGTTACAATAGGTTGACACAATAACTTTAACTCCAAATTCCTAAAAATAAGCACAATTTGAATGCAAAAAAAATTAATAATGTAAGCAACTCATAATCTTAATCACAGAAAAATTAGTTTTATACTACAGGATTATTCAGAGAAATGAATCCAATTTATTAATTTATATTTCACAAAAAATATATATAAAAATTGGANTTACTGAGAAAAGTAGTACATTTAAAATGTATTGTACTTTATTAAGATTTAAAATAAGGAGGAAATGAACTGAACCGTTGTGTTATTTCTTGATTCAAAAACAAATTATAAACACATGTAACAACCATATATGTTTATGAATTTTATTATTATTTTTTTTAAATTAAGGAATAAATAACACAGTAATCTAGTTAATTTTTTTCAAAACAATGGCTCAGCAGATGACACAGCAGTCCAGTTCATACAATAAAAATATACAAATTACAAAACTTTCCTACTAGTAATACAGTACAGAACCCGTTATCCGGAAATCAGAAAACCGGAAAACCAAAAAACCGGAACGAAATTCGATAAATTTTCTCGCCATCTTTAAAAAAAAAAAATTTTTTTCCTCATAAGATTTTACGATTATTCTTTCTTTTTTTAAAGATGTTTACCTTACCATCATCTTCGAAATAATCATTAGTTTATTACTTCATCGTTTTTCTTATTTTTAAGATTATTTCCAAAATTTTTTTTTTTTAGTTGGGTTTAACAATAAAAAAAAACGTCTTTTTGTAGCGATTCAGAAAACCGGAAAAATCAGTTATCCGGAATAGAGATGGTCCCGACCGTTCTGTATAACGGGTTCTATACTGTACATGTAAAATTCTAAAATGGTTAAGCTAGTTTCAAATGCATAGTATAACTCAATAAAATCAAGTTTTTGTTAAAAGGGAGGGGAAAAAAGATTCTTGTTCACACTAAAAAAAAATACCTATACTGCTTTAAAAATGTGCAGAACTTTTAAAATATTGGTGCTACAATAGGTTGACACAATAACTTTAACTCCAAGTTCCTAAAATTAAGCACAATTTGAATGCAAAAAAAATTAATAATGTAAGCAACTCATAATCTTAATCACAGAAAAATTAGTTTTATACTACAGGATTATTCAGAGAAATGAATCCAATTTATTAATTTATATTTCACAAAAAATATATATAAAAATTGGATAAAAACACTGATGAAAAGAGAAAAGTTTTAAAACACTATTTTGGAGGTAACAATGTGATGAATGTAAGATTATGCATCATATTTTCACGATTTAATATAAAAAATGGTGTTTCGTATTCATGCGACTTAAAAGCAACTATTATGATTCATGTTCAAGTGACTTAAAATTTATACATCGGAATCTGTATTCACCCAATTTTAAAATCAAACATCGAGATTCGTATTCAGGCGATTTTAAAATCAAACATCGAGACTCATATTATACGGATTTTAAAATTAGACATTGAGATTCTTATTTATGGGATTTTCAAATTAAATGTTGAGATTTGTATTCACATGATTTAAAAATCCCACATATTCATAACCATACAATTTAAATAATAAATAACAATATTTTTATGGAAAGAGCAGTCTGTGGATAAAAATTTCCCTCATACACTTTTTTCTTGGATAAACTCGAACTTTTTAAAATTATTTAAAATGTGTTTTTTCTCATAATATTTTTGAATTTTTGTTTTCAGTTTTTTCCGGTTTTTATAAAATATCCCTATGGTATGAATCAATGTAGCGTTCAATAAAAATTAAACATTTTTTAAAAAAATCAGTATGAATTTTGCCAAAAAGAGGTATGGTGATGAAAGGATTAAAACTAGTGGTTACAAGAGTTAATCAATGAAAGTTTTTCATTTTATCTAACTCTGTATGTAATATATTTATATATATATAAATCCAATTTATTAATTTATATT